CATGTCACAAGATATTCGAGTATATTTACAAATATTTATATCGTAAATTAAAATTTTTGTTTTGTTTTTGTTTTTTAAAGTTTATTTTATTTAATAAATTAATAAGTCATCAACTATTTTTAAAATAGTCATTTTGTTTCAATTATCTCTAAATAAATATTTGAAATTTTGTAAATTTTTGTTAGTGGGTCGTAAAAAAATATACTGTACAACTTGAGTGGATTATACGTATTACATATGGCCATCATATCCACTTTTGTTGCACAAACTACTATTGTGGATCACTCATTATAAACTTTTCATTTAAACATATCTACTTAAATTAAATAAACTCATAGTAACACTGCACCTGTCAACTATTATTCTAAAGCTAAAGGGATACATCATGGGACTTTTATCCCTATAGTTTCTGTGTACTATTTTTGCAATAAATAATTGTTTCCGCTTTTTTACATAAAAATCTGATGTGTCCAACACATGACTTTTTTGTCTAATTATTACAAGCTTTTTCCGATTAATTTGTACAACCTACTGTATCACCCTTGTAAATGTTTAGAGATTTTCCATACACATCTTGCTCCAAATATTTTTTACATATATTTATTGCTAACGAAAATACTGAAAAATTGAAAGTTTACCCTTTTTGTCAAATTTTTCTATTAACGTCCATTTTAAAGATATATCAGGTATAAAACAAAAATTTTAGAGACTGATATCGCAAACAACTTTTATTTGAAGACTTTTTTTCATCAATCGTAAATAACAGAGATAGTATTAATTAAAGTAAAAAAACGACCCCCTCTCCCAGAGGTTCGACTATGCCCAAAATTTAATGAGCTCACTGCAGGATTTATTAAAGCCTAAGTTTAAAATTTTATGTTTTTCTCTTTATCCGTTTTTGAGTAATTTTCAAATTCCATTTTAGGAAAATCATGTATGGGACAAAAATTATAGAGAATCACCAGCAACTTTTATTTAAACAATTTTCTTAAAAAATCGAATTTTGTACTTTTTGTAAAATTTCTCGAATATGGACCATTTTTGGAAAATTATGTATAGGATAAAAATTATAGAGCAACAAAAGCAACTTTAATTTAAAGAATTTTCTTCTCCAAGCGTAAATAACAAATATTCGTAGTAGAAAAACGACCCCTACAAAGTACCCCCCCCCCCCAGATTTTCCTACTATGCCTAAATGTAATTCACTCATTATTAGAAGATTAATCAAAGCTTAAGTTTAATATTTAATGTTTTTCTCTTTATCCGTTCATGAGTTATTGAGTATACAGACACACACATACATCATCGCGAAAATAGTCAAAACGGATTTAGGGAACCCCAAAACGTAAAAATCCGTCAAAAAAGTCATGATTCCTATACTTTCCTTATCTGTATACAGACAGGAAAGTAAAAAATGTATTGTCAATAAATTACAAATTTTAGTTAGTAGGAATTACACAAAAATAAAACATTGTAAAATCAAAATAAGGACTAAAAACGATAAAGATAGGCGAATGGATGTAAAATCCGCAGTCATAGAACCCCAAACAAACAAGCAAGCAAGTAAATTAATTCCTTTCTTTTTAAGGTGAAGGGGGAGAAAAAGTCCTTTATATCTCACAAGGAAAGTCAATGTTTAATTATTTAACAAAACATTGAGTGCGACCGGTTTCGAAGTGTCATCACTTCATCTTCAGGCTCGCCTAGTGGAAAGGAGAATATTATGTGGTGTAAGGTGTGTTAACACTTACAGCAAACGATATATAAAATAGTAAAAAAGAGAAAACTCACCATACTCTCCATCCACTAGGGAATACTACAAAACAAGTTTTATCAAATGTTGGTTGAAATAAATTGTAAAATGAACAAAGTTTACAAGTAATAAAAAGTTAAAAATATTTGAAAAACAAATAATAGTCAATTGAAATAGTAAAATTTAAAATATTCAAGACTATACAAAACAAATCACATACATTAAACAGATTAAAAGATAAGGCTTATTTTAAACAACCTTGTTTTTTCAAAAAACTAACATTTTTGAAAGGAGACCTGTCAAGTTAAGGCCTCTACAGGTGGTGGCAAGTATTATCTTGAATATTTAAAATTTTACTATTTCAATTGACTAATATTTATTTTTCAAATATTTTTAACTTTTTATTACTTGTAAACTTTGTTCATTTTACAATTTATTTCAACCAACATTTGATGAAACTTGTTTTGTAGTATTCCCTAGTGGATGGAGAGTATGGTGAGTTTTCTCTTTTTTACTATTTTATATATCGTTTGCTCTGTGTTAACACACCTTACACCACATATTCTCCTTTCCACTAGGCGAGCCTGAAGATGAAGTGATGACACTTCGAAACCGGTCGCACTCAATGTTTTGTTAAATAATTAAACATTGACTTTCCTTGTGAGATATAAAGGACTTTTTCTCCCCTTCACCTTAAAATTACCTCAACTCACACATGGCTACCCCCCTTGTCAATAATTCCTTTCTAAATAAAATACATTTAAAACCCTAATTACAACATGTATGACCCCCTCTAATAAAGTACAAACAATTTTATTATGCATTAAAAAAAATCTGGTAAAATAGAGACAATTCTGGACCACCTGGGAACTATCTTCTATCAGATCAAATCAGAAATTTGATGAACTTTGCCAAAAATGGCATTTTAAAATTAATAATAAATGATGGAACGACACTTTCGATAAACGTAAATGCAATTTGTTTAATTTTACACAAGATGGCTTACTTTTCCTAGTCAAAACACAATGGCGAATTGGTGAAATGTCAACTGACTGCGCGCGATTTTTAATGATTGCTAGTGATTGTTGAGCGACTGCGGGAGATTTCGGGAGACTGCGAGGGAATTCTGAACGACTGCGACGATTTCTTAGCGATTGCCGCTGATTTTGATGGGACTGTGGCGATTTTCAATGGGATTTTGGACATTTTGTACATGTATTGCGGGAGTGATTCGCCCCTCGAGTACAACCGTCCTGGAGACAAATGGTTTAAATCGTTTCTTCGTAGACACCCAGATATTTCCCCAAGGGTAGCACAAAATTTGACTTCAGCAAGGGAATGTGTGACAGAACAACAGATTAGAAATTAGTTTCAAGAAATAAAAGAATATCTACTATCCAAAGATCTTTTACAAGTGGCTAATGACCTCAAAAGAATTTTCAATGCTGACGAAAGTGCATTTTATTTAAACCCCAAAGGTAACAAGGTCCTTGCACGTAAATGTGACAAAAATATATACTCAGTTGGCGGGGATGAGAAGGACAATCTTACAGTCTTGGTGACAGCCAATGCTGAAGGTAAAATTGCACCAGGGTACCAGGTTATATATCTGCCAACATTCCTCCTTCTTGGGCAATAGGCAATTCAGAAAATGGCTCAACTTTTTATGAATATGTTACTAACATATTCGTCCCATGGCTTGAAAAAGAAAAAAATTGAAAGGCCTATAATATTTTATGTTGATGGCCACGTGTCTCATTTGATGTTCCACTTATCAAATTTTTGCACTCAGAACGGAATTGAATTAATATCCCTTTTTCCTAACTCAACCCATCTTCTTCAGCCTATGAACGTAGCTGTCTTCAGACCATTGAAAAATACATAGAGAAACAAAGCACAAAAGTGGAGATCTGAAAATGGGGGACTAAGATTACAAAAACAACATTTTGGACTAGTTTTTGCTAAGGCCTTAGAATCTATTAACAATACCACAATTCAAAATGGATTTCGTGTCTCAGGGCTTTGCTCATTTGAAGTAGAAAACGTTCAATTTCAGAAGATAGTTCACATGCAAGTACTACATATTTCATAAAAAACTAGAAGCCTATAATCCTGTGGACACCTTAAAAACCTTTAGGGCTAGCTTTTTAGAAGAAGGCAAACATTTCAGTGGAAACATTGAAGATACTACCTTATTTAATATTTGGAAAAAGGTAAAGATAGAATTATCAGAGAATAGAGAAAACAACAAAGAAAAAATGCACAAGATAGTCAAGAAGACACTGCAGTTCCAACAACCTCCAACTCACACAAAACCCAAAACAAAAATGAACAAACACCACTTAAAAATTTGACAAAACAGGCTAATAATAATGTTACACCAGACAGCAAAAACAAGAAAGTGCCCTCTCCTTTAAAGAATATACCTACCCCTTTTCTATCGTTCAGGTAATTTATAAGCCATTGTAGTGCATTTTCAATAATACCAAAACTTTTAATGAGTAGAGACCGATTTATTGTTTCAAACGCTCTTTGTAGGTCTAAAAAAGAGCAATGTAATAAACTTGTAGACGAGATTCTGTTTCCAGTCATTCAAAACATATTGTAGTGCAGTTTCGCAACTGTGTTTCCCCTGAAAACCTGATTGATTACTATTAAACATATTATCGTCTTGCAGTTATTAAATTAGTTGATTATATACTATTTTCTCTAAAAAAATGTCTACTGTACATATTAATAGGTGGTAAGTCCACTGACCTATTTGGTTTTTCAATCGTAGCTATTATCATTGAAATTTTTAGGACATCTGGAACTGTATTAGTTTCTAACGACGAATTTATTGTATTTATCAATGGATTAGCAATAAATATTTATTGAAATAAACTTCAGAAAACCATCACTTTACCAAACAGATATCCTTTACAATAATCCTAAACATTAGAACACTGTAGGTACTTTTGCTGGTTTTATTTTCATATAGAAAACCTCATTTAAGAACTACTGCTAAATTAAATAATAATTTAATGACATCAACATGTCAGTGTGATACTAGCCGTTTTGTAAGCACAGTTGCTACCAAAATGTATAATAAGCTACTGATGAACATAAAAATACAACCAAAGTACATATATTTCTATTCGAGTGCAAACTTAGATGTATTTAAGGATATTTTATTACTAAGTACCTCTCAAAGATAGTTAGGTTGTTAGGTTAGGTTAAATAAATCAATTTTATAGTTTAAACTTACCAATCCCAATCTACTGCAGGAATTATAAACATCATAAAGAGAAAACTATACCATAGTTTACTGATTGTAGCCTCCTTTTGACGTTTATGTCCAAAATCTTTAAAATAACGTCTTTGGTCATATTGAAATACATCAGTTCGAGCTACGAATTTTGGTGTTATCCTGAAAGTTTGTAAATGCTGCGATTTGAAACAAATAGGTCCATAACGACTTAGTAATTTTATGTAGCTCATTTTTTTATTTTAAATTTGTTTTTTTGCCGAAATATTTAATTTAAAAATAGATTTTGCTATTTGAAACTTGTCGCATTCTTGGTTTACATTTGGATCACAGATCTCAGCTAGTTCGCCAGTTGGAGTTTCGACACTGGCTAATCATGAAGATCAATAATTTTTAAATATTTCTTTAATTAGACACTTTTTACTTTTTAATATAATAAATATTTTGATATGAAATACGAATGGAGACTGAGGGAACTTCTGACTTTGCCGACAGGTGACATAAATCAGCTGACATAAAACTGCGTTCTTTTGATAAACCTAAGTGACTTCAGGATCACGATGGTATATGAATATGGCGTATAAGTGTTTCCGATTTCCAGTAACGTACTGTTGGGGACAAAGAAATATTAAAGGGGAAAAAGGAAAATTGATACTCAGCTGGCAAACAAACTGGGCTGCTAAATTCAATACCTTTGTACTGAATTCAGTACTTTTTCAACATTGTAAGTAAAGGCAGATCACACGAGAGTTTATATCATGTGCACAATATATGCCAACATGTTTATAACGCTCTTAGGTGCACACAAAGCAGACTGGAGTCCGTTTTACATTAAGATAATTATATAAAATATAAAACACACTAAATAATTCAATAACATCTCGCTTAGGACCGATTCCACCAAAGAAGTTTAAAACAGGAACCCGGACGGTACCGTTAAAAACAGAAAACCGGACCGGAACTGAAAACTTTTATTCGACTGGAACCGAAACTGAACCGTTATTTTTTCTAGAAATAAATTTTTAGAACCGAACCAGAACCGTTAATATTTCAAACGGTTTTAACCACAAAGCACGTATCTTCTAGAGACCCCACGCCAATGTTAAACTTTTAAAACAAATTAGCGCCACCTTGAGTTTGGAGCAGGAACTAAAATGACAATTGACAGATGGCGGTAAATTCAAATTGTAATTTTTAGGAGTAGGTAGTAGTTTTAAATTTTAAATGATTTCCACATAAATTATTTTATAAAATAAAGTATGGAACTAGTAAGTTCGAGACTTTTATTTTACAAAATAATTTAGGTCGATTATACCAAATTTGAGGAATTAATTTGTTATAAGGGGTCTGATGTGGAGAGTTGGTTCTGCATATAATTATTAAATAAATATAAGATATATCAATAAATAATAAAATAGAACATTCTTAATATGTTTATTAATAACTTGAATAAATATTATTAGATAAAAATAAATACAAATAATAATACATATATTTAACGAATACTTACTTGGAGCAAATCCTTAAAATACCTATCAATAATTTAAATGTGAAGTAGAGACTAGGATATTACATTTTATTAACACTAAAGTAATATATTTTATAAATGTCTTTTTAACCGAGAACAAATGTAATATAGGTATTGTATTAAAAGGTGAATCCTTTTAACTATTCATTCAATGATAAATAGGTATTTTCCTTCCAAATACTGATGGTGGTATTACTCTCTTATGTGAAAAATGATTTCGGAATCCAGTCCAGTGATAAATTGATTATCAATTAGTTGTTGTACCCGTTTGTCTTTTTATGATGCATGGTGAATCAATGAAGTTTTTCTCTAAGTTTTCAACGTAGCACCAAAATTATTGCAAAACACAGTAGGAAATAGAAAAGCAAAACATCACAATTTTGCAAATAACTAAGACGAAACTATAAACAGAAACCAAAACCAAAGCCAACAAAAAATCACTAAAATCAGACGAAAAAATGAGACTACCCAAAAACATAAATAAATACACGTCATATATTTGGATTCTTTGGTTAAGTTTTTCTCCCATAAAGCTTAAAAATGGAGTAAGAAATCATAATTTCACCAGTAGCCCCATCTAGAGTTTGGAGCAAATAGCATAAAAAATGTCAGTTGTCAGTTTTGACCTTGGTCATTCACGTGGAACATCTATGTGCTTTGTGGTTTGTGGTTTTAACGGTTTCTTAACCGACTTCAAAAAAGGAGAAGGTTATCAATTCGTCGCGATATTTTTTTTTATGTATGTTCAGCGATTATTCTTTAACACGGTGTCCAATTTTAATGATTCTTTTTTTGTTAGAAAGGGGGTACTTCAGGGGTAGTCCCATATAAATTTAGTCAAAATCTAATAATTGGGTCCATGAGAAAATCCTCAAACTCTTCATTTTTTATGTATGTTTAGCGATAATGCTTTACCACCTTGTCCGAATTATATGATTCTTTTTTTGTTAGTAAGGGGGTACCTCAGGGGTGGTCCCATATAAATTTGGTTAAGATATGGTGGTGGCATCTGCACGTTTTTGAAGTCGGTTTTTTTAAATTTTTAATTTATAATACTTGTATTATAAATACATCAAATTTTCCTTCTTTGTGGAAAAAAGCCTGTTATACCTCTTCCTAAAAATCCTAACCCAGAAAGTCTTTCTAACCTCCGTCCAATCAGTATCTTGTTTCGGTTTCGTTGTTCATATTGTTACGTTTCTTTGTTTATACTAATAATTTTTATTTGTAGCTGAATAGCCACTTTACGTTTCTTAGTAGTGAATAATAAATAGCATTCACAATAGCAGGAGAGAAAAGGATGTAGTATAGCCGCTACTGACCTATATGAGTCCACCTATGAATAGCAACATTTTGTTTCTTTTCCTGCATGTGTGTACGCGATTTACTATTTTTGCCAGCTCATAGGATCATTTTTCTAGTTTTTTTTTTAATGAAAATATATAAATAATGTTTAAATTATTAACTACATTTTCTTTTACTGATTGTCTACCTATTTTATTTAAATAAATTAACTCCTAAAATAATATAATTAATTTATGTAATAAATAAAATTATACTACCTATTTAAAAATCAAATGTTTATATGTGTAATGTTTGTCCTTTATAAGCAATTATAAAGGTATGGAAAATTTGTACCGAAAAGAACCGTTTGGACCGAAACATTTAGTCAGAACCGAACCGAAATATTTTTAAAAGAACCGAAACAGTAGTTGGACCCAAAATTTTTAGTTTTACTAGAACCCGAATCGAACCGGAACCATTAAATTCATTTCGGTTCGGGTCTCTGTACAGCACACATTATTTCAGCAATGTTTCAGAAATATTTCAAACGTTTCAAACATAACATTTTAAGCACACGTTTCTTAAATATTTTAGTTAATTATTTCACTGAAAATGTTTCTGAAACATCATATACATGTTACCCAAAAGGTTTCTATACGTGTTATGTTATAAAAGGTCGACACTTAATGAAGAATTTCATATTTCTAAGAAGAAGAAGATGGGATTTTATTTCTTGTCCAGCCTTACCAGCTAGAGACAACTCTATATTCTAACTAAATATAGATTGGAGTTGTCGGTTTTTGCCATTTCCTTTTTTTTGTTATTTATGCGTTGTGCTGTTGTTATATGGTAAGCAGAACATGTCTTTATTAGAAATTGAGGTGAGTCCTACACCAGTTTTATTTATTAGTTCTACAACCGATTGAAAAGTAAAGCTTCATGTTTTATTTAGGCATGAGTATTTATATAAATCTTTTTTAATTATCTATAATTTGTTTCAGATTAGTGCAAGGAATTCGTGAAAATAAAGCAATTTACCAACTTTGGGGATGTGCCAGTAAAAGTAGCATCCAAGTTATTCAACATTTCCAGAATAAGGTAGTAAAGAACATAGTCGATGCACCCTGGTATATACTGCCACAATACTGATCTGCATAGGGACCTTAAAATGGAGACTGTTGAAAATACAATACAAAAATTTGCTGCTATGAGAATCCCGTTAGCTCTATTTAAAGTACACTGGCACTATTGCTCACAGCCCATTTTATGTTTAGGTTTAAGAATCTGGAGTATATTCCACATCCTGAGCCTTGTTTTGTTTTCGAACCGTCGTTGTAGATATGAATCGTAACTGCCACCTGTGGCTCTTCTATTTGTTCTATTATAACTTTATATGGCTTATGGAAGATACATATCGGTGAGATGGAGTCCATATGTTCTCTTCTTAGATAAAAGAGACCAGAGATATAACATACACCGGTTTTAAACCTGCGCAAATGTTGCCAATTTCTAAAGAAGGGTTAATGGAGTGGGGGAACTGGGCGGCGACAAGCGGCGACCCGAACTCTGTGACAGGGACCGGACTTTGTTTATTAGCAACTTAATGAACTATTAGGTTTATTTAAAAGGTGTTTAATCGAATTTTGTATTATGAAATCAAATTATCGTGATTTTTTAATATCAAACAGATGCCACGACATTTTATGTAAAGAGAAGACCTTTTATAGAATATTTCGTTAGCGTTTATTTACTACGGACTTTTCTGCAAGAGATTACAGTAAAATGTTGAAATAGAATATATTGTTAATAGAGCAAAAAATGTTACTCATTGTCTACGAGTATTATAAAAATAGCAAGTGCGCAGGCTAATACTGCAAATCTACCCTCATGAGTTGAACATTATATTTTTTCTACGGCTATTACATATTATTAAAAATTAGTCAAAATGAGAAAATGCTGTTTTGTATTGTAACCTTAGAAAAAGTATATTAAGGCTTCTTTCTTTAAGAATATTAATTATTTTAAAGGATGAGTCACATAAAACTCTAGAAATGCATATGTCTGAAACCAGATAACATTTTAAAATTTAAATCTATTAAAAGTCATTTGGTCGCTAGGGATGAGTGATTATCGAAATAAATTATCGATAATTGAAAATAATCGATTATTTTCGATCAATAGATTATTTTCAAACAATATATTTTTTGTCATTTCCTTTAAAATCGACTACTTGAATATCTTTGAAAAATCAAAAATAATCGATTAATTAAAAAGCCAATTAACCGATAAATCAGTGTTTACAAAATATAATATAAATAGAATTATCGTTTATTTTAAATAATTGATTATTTTCAAATAAACCATTTTTTTTTCGTCAATGGAAACAGATTATTCGATAATCTTTGAAAAATCGAAAATAATCGATTAATCAAAAATAATCAATTAATTAAAAAGTCGATTAACTGATAAATCGATTTAAAAAAAACAGAATGATCGATTATTTTAAATAATTGATTATTTTCGATCAATCGATTATTATCAATAATCTATTTTTATTGTATTTCCTTTAAAATCGTTAATTCGATTATCTTTGAAATACCGAAAATAATCGATAATTCCAAAATAATCGCCTAATCGAAAATAATCAATTAATTAAGAAGCCGATTCTATGATAAATCGATTATTACCAATAATCTATTTTATTGTATTTCAAAAATATTCGATTAATTAAAAAGTCGATTAACTGACAAATCGATTTTCAAAAAAAACAGAATGATCGTTTATTTTAAATAATCGATTATTTTCGATCAATCGATTATTATCAATAATCTATTTTTATTGTATTTCCTTTAAAATCGATAATTCGGTTATCTTTGAAATACCAAAAATAATCAATAATTCCAAAATAATCGCCTAATCGAAAATAACCAATTAATTAAGAAGCCGATTCTATGATAAATCGATTTTCCAAAAAATAAAACAAATTATCTATTATTTTCTAATAATCCTTTTTTCATATTTCCTTTGAAATTGATTATTCAATTATCGAAAATAATTGATTATTAAAAAGCTGATTATCCAATAAATCGATAATTTTAAAAAAATAACCAAAATATCGATTATGTAAAATAACCGATTATATTCAATCGATTATTTTCATATAATATCTTTGAAAAATCGAAAATAATCAAATAATTAAAAAACCGATTAAACGATAAATCGATAATTTTGAATAAATCTACTTTTTCTATATTTCCTTTAAAATCGATTAATACATTATCTTAAAAAAAAACGAAAATAATTTATTAAAAACAGCGGATAAATCGATTTTCATTAAAAAATATCAGAATTATCGATAAATCGATTATTTTTGTAACCCCTATCGGTCGCTTGCTTTTATCTGAGCATTTAGCTACAAAATTTAGAGATTCGGATTATCTTTGAAATCGCATTCGCTTGTATAATAAATAAATATTGCTAAATTTTGGATTTTTGTTAGTAAACGAAAATTATGTTTGAGTTGTTTAGGGGTTTGTAATGTAACATTTTATTAACGTGACTAAGGGTCGATTCCACCGTTGTGTTAAACGAAGTTTAAAATGACATTTTTACATTAACACTGTCATTTTAATCTCCGTTTAACACAACGGTGGAATCGGACCTAACTCCTGTAACTTTAGTATTTTTTTTTGCTTATACTAGATTACTTGTTTTTAAGACTGAAAATTCAATGTCACTTTCGATTTGACCGCAAATAAGATGAACCTTGAAATTTTAAGTAGGTCATCCTGTATTTCATCTAATATTCTTATAAAAATACCTTATAAAAATACCTTATAAAAATAAAATTTAGCTAGCAACTATGATTCTTTACCTCTTATTTATCTACCAAAAAGGGCTAAAAACTACCTTTAGAAAACATTCTTATAAAACTACTTTTTAAATACAAAATTTCGTTAGCAATAATTCCTATTTACTATTTATTTAAATTAAATGTTCCAAATTTTATCCTTTTGTAAATTTATGTAGGTAATATGAAATCTGATTTCTGATGCTTAATATTTATTGAAACCCCTTAATGCGGATCTGAAGTATTCAGCCCAGAGATTCATGGCGCTTTATGTCAAAACGTTAATAAATATTTACCGCTGAAAACGAATATATTCATAACAGTAGTACTTGTATTATAAGGACATACAATTTTTCAAGATACATCGTGACATTTTGAACTTGAAATTGAATAACTAGAACACTTTAAATTGCTAAAATACCAACAAATAAATCAAAAAACAGCTGTCAATGGTGATTAAACTCAGGTGGAGGTGTGATCGCTGAATGGAAATCGGAGCAATTCGGGTGGCGTCGTGCAACAATGATTTTCAATTGGTGGGTTACTTTGGCTTAAAATAGACAGCATGCGCAGTGTGCAATGTTACATCTTCGGTCTCTTTAATCTAAGGTTCTCTTGAAGCAGTGGGAGCGTATCGAGCGCCTCCTACCAAAAGCGACGTCTCGCCTCACCAGATCCTACATCAGATTCTATTTCATCCGTGCGGAGGCGTGTTATTGTCGTCAGAGCAACCTCCTTGATGTAAATATCAAGGGGAGTGAGACTAAGAATGTTGTGTGTTGTTTTCATGGCTCCTGTTATGTTGAAACTTGCTGGGCATTTAAATTTGTTCTAGTTTACGGATAGCTGTTAATTTTTGGATTTTTGGTACCCAGACAAACTTGGTCTTTAGGGTTCCCATGGGTTCTTTTTTTATTTCATGGTGGAAGGTGCACCATTTCGCTACATGTAAGTCTGGGTTTGCCTCTCAAGTCACCTGAGCACAACCTCCTTCTCGTCAAGGTCAACTTGCGCTTCCCCTTGGATCCAGAGAGAGGCTTTGGTGAGCTTGGGGACCTCGTCCATTCTCACAACAGTGAGTGTTGCTCCTTCCCATGTTTTTAAGGTTGGTACTTTTGTTTTTAGCCATTCCAACGTCAGTTCATCGTCGCACGTTACTCTGATGATTTCACAAGAGTGCGTCCAAGACTTAAAAGATGGGTAGCTTGGTTTTGCTGCAGAAGGCGGACAAAATTATTTTGTCCAGCTCTCCCATCAATGTCTTTTTGAAAAGGATTTCTCTTTCGATAGTTATCTTACCGTAAGGGTTATCATTTTCTATTAAAGCTACTTTCAGGTGACTCGTAGCTGCATCCTTGTAGCTTTATCCCAGACATAACTTTGTAATCCTGTCTGTGTTTTTTCCCCTTCCGGGGAGTTACCTCGGAAGAGGTGTGAGATCGCGGCCTTTTCTTGTCTCTAGTTGCGTCGTGTTCCTGACCTCTTGTGGAGGCAGAACTAGCGTCGCTGCCTAAGAACTTAATTAAGCCGCTTTTGTTTTGTTTGGAGTGAGGGAGTTTGCTGAGGGTGGCAGTTGCCGTAGTACTGTGTGCCTGCAGCTTATTCCTCTTCCTCCTCTTTGCTTTAGACCCAGAGATTATCTTGTCTCTCCGGGGCCTGTTAGTTGGAGGTGAACTACTGTGCCCATCCTCCTTTTTTGGAAGTGGGCGTCGCTGTCCAGCATCCTGTGCAGGAGCTGAAATTTGTTGTCTAGGCTCCTTTGCAGGAAGTGAGCGTTGACAATCATCCTCCTTTTTCTTGAGGTGACCGTCGCTGTCCAGCTTCCTGCACATTAGAAGCTTTAAAAAGACATTGAATTGATTTCTCTATTTGTTTTCTTTAGTTTTACATATGATTTGTATCCTGTTTTACAATGTAGATCGGAGTAAATCTTGCTTTAATGTTTTTTGTCACTCATGTTACTCATGTACTCAGGTACTTTTTTCCATATTATTTTGATTTTTCCACCAATTTTTTAAAAAATCACTTCATTTTACATTGACTTATTTAGAAAATGAACGTTAGTGGCGTTCGACCTGCCAACTACAGTCAATTTAGCGAACTTCATTAAAAGAAGGACAGAAATTTGATCATTGCCGATTCGCCTCCTTGTATCTATTCTTTAAGTATCACCGAATGAATTTTTAAAATTCATTGCCAACCTTTCAAAATAAATCACATATTAACATTCACCCGGTGTAAATTATTATTATAAAATGTCTAATATTACTGACATTTAAAACTGCCACAAGAAACTATAATGAATATGGAAAATGTTGCTTGTACCTGTTCAAACGCTTCAAATTTACTAAATAGAATTGTAGCACTACTAGAATGCGAAATAACAAAACATGATATTTCAAGAATTTTAGAAATGCTTTATAACTTCATTTCAGCATCACAATGCGGAATTGTATCCTTTAAATATAGTAAAAGATGTTAATTTTGTTTCTATAATACAATATAATTTTCCTAAATTATTAATACAGTATGTTTCAGACCTAGTAGCTATTATGCGACTACTGGAAATAGCGTGTGATAGGTTTAAGGAAGTTCCCACTTTTAAAGACATTTTAAAAAATGTTTTGAACATTTGCAAAATTCCACCTTTTATGAAAGTTTGCTCTGACGTTTTAAGATATGCCCCTGATATAAAAGAGTTTTTTGCAGTTTTAGGTAATATTTTAGACAATATTTTATTTAAAATTGCCATTTTGATGTATTTTATATGGTCAAACCAGACGTTTACTGTTTTATAAAGAACTTATTTTTTACTAGACGGCAGTGCCGGCTTGTCTGCAGGGCCTGCAGGGCTACAGCCCCCGTTAGTACAAAGAGAAACCAATTTATATAACTATAAAATGAATAAGTATTACGGTATCTACCAATACGATTTTTAATAAACAAAATATATTACGCGTTTATTTATGTAATCATTAATTATCGCCCAATTACCATCAAGAAAGAGACCAAAATCGAAACATATGTACCAGTAACTTCCATATTTCGTCAGATAACATCTTCTGATAATTCCAACAACAAATGATTACAGTTGCTGGTCAATCTCTGAATCAATTAGAGAAACAGAAAATAAATTCAATTTTTCTAGGTATCTCCAGACTATTTAAGAGCTCAGCGCTTTGATGGCTGCTTGGCTATCGGACACGATGATAATCTCTTGTCTCGATGTTAAACTGGATACACTTCTCGATGGCGTGAATTTCCGCCTAGAAGATGCTTGGGTATTTTCCCAAGCTTTCGGAGTGTTTGGTTCTCGGCCATACACTCCCATTCCAGTTCCTTCTATGGTTTTGGAACCGTCCGTATACCACTAAATAGCATGTATTTCGGTTGCAAACGCGATGGATTCTTGACTCCATTCTTTCTTGCTTTTGAAGTTTTTCAAAAAACTGTACTTCTTTAGCATTTCATCCTGGGATATCTTTAGTCCTGAAGCAAGTAGACTTTCGTCTAATTACTCTGTTCCTGATCATTCTATATCGTGTCCTTTTTGCTATATTCTCTATCATCAAATGTAGAGGGGTGAGGTTTAAGATCACCTCCATTGCGGCTGTAGGGCAGCTTCTCATTGCACCGTTGATGCAAACACAGGCTAGTCTTCGTACTTTTGAGATATTAGCTCTCGTATTGGCTAAACTAGTTCTGTTTCTCCAGGCTATAGCCCCGTAAGTGATGATTGGTCTCACTATTGCAGTATACACATCCTTGGTATGTTTGGGTTACTTCCCCATCGCAAATCGCCAGATAGATTGAATAACTTCAATAGTACGACTTTAAGATCGAACATAGAGCCAGAATAAGCCACAGAAATTCCTATTCTCTTTCTAGAAGACCATGACCAGTATAGTGCTCTAACTGCAACAGAGCAAAATCTAAAGAAAGTGGACTAACAGCTATAGTCAACGATGAGTGAAACTCTGCCAAACTTGGGGAAAATGATCCCGTTTTAAAAAAGATGTGATAATGGAGAAAAGAAAATCGTCGACTTACTTGGCAAGAAGTATCAGATCTCTCTCCAGGAAAAAAGCTTATTAAAGCGAGAATTAGAGAATAATGATAGTTCCGAAAACCGAAGACAGTGTTACGGGTCTTTGGCATTCTCAATATGTATTAGCGATCAATTCAATGGAAATTGTATTTACATTCAATATTATTGTTCTTACTACGAATTTAACTTACCTTTTACTATCGTGAATAGGTTCGGGAACTATCTTTACGAATAATCTTAAAAGCTAGAGAAACCAGTCGAGAAACCGCACCGTTGAAGTAAGACACTGTAAGACACGGTACAAAAAATGTGACTTTGTAATCACTTGGATAATGTTCTATTTATGCAACTGGTTGCATAAAGTAGATCGTTCTGACACTTGATGCGATTACAAAATATGTGACTTTATATCTCAAAATTAGAAAAAACATTTATGTACTTTTCGTTTAATTGTTCTTTTAATTTCTTGTTTTTTAGGTTATCTATTATTGTTAATAGAAGATGTCGACATTCAAAACATCGTTATGGATACCATAATGAGTTTATTGGAAACGCCTGCGTATTACAAAAGTCAAGTTCCTTTAGAAGTACGCAGGAAAGAGGCTGCAGCAGGAAGACTTCCTGGTCTTCTAGGTCAAGCTTTGTTTCTTTTGAACGATGAACTATTTAAGAATCTTTTATTACTGACCCTCAACTTTGCTATTAACTGCCCTCATGCTTGTAAGTACAAACAATTCGATATCTGTATATTTTTTTAATGTTTTCAATAATTATTAATTTACAGTGCGCATTCGGGTATTTGTGACAGAGTTCTTCTATTTTTCAGAAAAAATTTGTTAAAAGTAATAAAACGGCCTAAATTTCTGCGTCTAACCAATCATCTTACTTGCCTATTCAATATACACACACATGGAAAATATGTATACATTTTTGGGAATTTCATTTTTTTTAAAACAATGTCAGGTGTCACAATTACCCTACAAAAATTCTATTTGTGACACTTTTTGGTTTCAATTATGACACACCACATTTATATCCATTTATATCCATAAAGCTGGGTAGATTTAATGGTCTAAATATGAAATTAAAAAAATATTTGAAAAGAAAACATTTATGTTTAAAAAAAAAATAGAACTAATTTGTTTATAAAACTAAAAAAATAAGTATTTTCACTACAAATAAGGAACAAAATAATAATGCCTATGTATAAGAGTATGTACATAAAACTAAAAATCTGATGTGTCCAACACATGACGTTCCTATCTAGTTATTACAGGCTTTTTTCGGTTATTTTGTACAACCTATTGCAGCACCTCTATAAATGTTTAGAGGATAAACTAAATATATACATTTTCCACATACATCTACCTCGAAACATTTTTCTATAGATATTCATTGAAAACGAAAATACTGAAAAATTTAAATTTAGCACTTTTTCTACAATTTTTCCATTTTAGAAAATCATGTATAAACAAAAATTATAGAGATCGATATCGCAAACAACTTTTAGTTCAACAATTTTCATAAAAATCAGAATTTTGCACATTTTGTCAAATTTCTCGAATACGGACCATTTTAGAAAATTTTGACATAAAGCAAAAATTATGTATAATAATAATATTAGAAGTAACTTTTATTTGAACAATTTTCTTCTCCAACCATAAATAACAGATATATTCCATAAAATATAAAAACGGCCTCCCACAAAGTACCCCCCAGATGTTCCGACTATGTCCAAAAACTAATCATTTCACGTTAGGGCGAAATAAAACTTAAGTTTAAAATTTAATGTTTTTTTCTTTGTCCGCTTTTGAGTTTTTTCAAAATTCGAAATTTACACATTTTCTTAAATATCTCGAATACGGTCTATTTTACAGAAATTATGTATGGTATAAAAATTATAGAGAATTATATTAACTTTTATTTAAACAATTTTTATGAAATCAAATTTCTCGAATACGGACCATTTTAGAAAAATTTTGTATAAAACAAAAATTATAGATAATTAAAGAAGTAACTTTTGTTTAAAGAATTTTCTTCTCCAAACATAAATAACAGATATATGCCATAAAATATAAAAATTACCACCTATAAAGTACCCTTCCAGATGTTTCGACTCTGCCCAAAATCTGCACTCGCACTCGCAATCGCAATCGCACTCGCACTCGCACTCGTACTCGTACTCGCACTCGCACTCGCACTCGCACTCGCACTCGCATTCGCACTCGCACTCGCACTCGCACTGTACCCTAAATTTTCCTGAAGGAAAGATATAGAGTTTAGCTCCGGCAGCTGTTCGTCTGGTGGCACCATTGATAAGGCAACGTAAGGATACGTCATATGTATTATTTTTGATATACAAAAGTGGGACCGGTAGGCGTGGCTTTTGCACTCACTAAAATGGCGGAAGAGCAGAACCGGATTTACAAGTTTTTATTGAACTATTTCTGGTTAAATATCATTATTTGAACTATAAAAAAATTAATTTCCTTTTTATTGACATTGACTTAAAAGGTAGTGGAAGGCCGAGGTTATAAAAGAAGGGGGGTTAAAAGCTTAAATATGACCGGTTTTCAGCCGAAAGGTGCTGAATAAAGTAAATGAAAGAAATAAAATATAACTGATTTAATTATCACTCAAGTGGCTATTAAGCGCTGGAGAATATATTATTTGCAAAATTGCAACTAATCAATGACCATCATATAACTAACTTAGGGCCGATTCCACCATTGGGTTTAACGAAGTTTAAAATGACATTTTTACATAAAATTTAATTTTAATCTTCAATTAATAGTTTAAACTTTAACACAATGGTGGAATTAACCCTAAAGCGTTGAAATCATTCACAGAAAAAATAAATAGTACATTTTTGGTTCACATAAGCGACAAAAGTAAATAGAGTTCGATTTAATGGATCAGTCGTCACACGTTTGCACTAGGGCACATAAATAGCTCAATCTTTAGTTTTTCGTTTTTCTATGAGCCCAATGCTTCTGTCTTTATCGGAAAGTACAAGGTCGCAAATGTCAAGTAATCTAACCATGGAGGAAGAATCTAACCTTACTTTAATTAACAGCTTTCTCGAAATTAAGAACAAATGTTCATACACTAACAGCTCGATAATCAGATATGAAACTTAATGCAAGGCTCGCGGAAAATGGCTAATAAGCAATCTCTGTGTAGGTAGATGCACTATTCAGGAAATCAAAATGTGGATTAATCTTACTTGGTCTTGGTACTTTTGTAGATTCAGACTGAAAGGGGTATATCTTCATGCAAGACATTCAGTAAATCAGCGAAGCCACAACCAGCGGTGTGCAGGTGCACTTCTAACAAATGTAAAATATGAAGTGATCTTACTTGAGACCTATAGATCCAATGACGATAGTATGGTAGTTGGTTAGAGCTGGGCTTCTCACCATCTGCAGAGATTATGGCTACTTATGTAAAGGCCTACCCTAATAACACACAACATGCACCACAAGCGTGCCGGTCCAATTTAATTGGTCTATGCACAATAATCATGCATGTATAATTGAAAGTCAGACAGAGAATGTGAAGATAAAGTTGAAGTCTCAATCATAATTAAAGTCACAGATGAAGTTAAAGTTAACAGCAAAAGAGTTGAAATTGTAGGATGGTGATAAAGGGAGGCCAACATCTAGGTAATAAATGTTTTATTGAGTTAGGAAAAGTATCCACTGTGCTTTTCTTAACCACTAAGGTAAAAACCAGAATATTTTCTAATACACAATTTCTTCGCAAGGCAAAATAAGAAATAAATTTGTGAGAGTACTTCCCAAGTGTTTTTCCAAAAGCTCTAAGAACAAAATTGACGAAAATGGCCTAATCCAAGTTCAAATTCTAAAACTTGAACATTAAAGATAAGTATCTTACTGTAAAACAAGTAAAACCCCGTTGTTGACTAAATGGTTGAATAATTCATTACCTAGGTGGAGGTAGAACAGGGACTAGAGTTTAGCAGAAAAAGCTACTAGAAAAGGTGAACAAAACAGACTGGGGCATATGAACGTCAAGCAAATATTGTAAATGCAAATAATGTGTGCTGTGATTAAATAAAAGTGTACAAGGAATAAAGTTTTAATATTTTCTTATCCATATCTATGAGTGATATTTATTTTTAATACTAGACAAACGGTTATGATTTTATTGCTAGTCTCATTAAAAAAAGACTAATGTTATTTTTTTTTTCGACTTATGGCCAAGGTGTATATACCTAATATGCCAGTCTCAAGCTTGTGTTTAAATTCTTAATAATTGTGTTCTGTGTAGGCTTTGTTACTGTTTCCCAGCGCCACTTCAGGAACAGCACTGTTAATTATTAGAACCCAACAGTGAATGGTCGAGTGGGGAATCATACCAAGGCATTAGAAAATATTTTTATTATTATTAGAACTTATATACAGTGTGTTCATAATATGTACTGTACAAACTTAAATATTATATTCCTGAATTCATTTCAAGCATAAAATGTCCTATGAACAAATATCCAATTCTACATGGTTACCAAGCTGCAAGAGTTTAAATATCAAAAGATATATTAACACAGTATGCCACGTGTTCCAATATGTCGAAACACAGCACTGAATGTTTGGTGCTTTGGAACTTGTCAGTATGGAAATCGTCGCTTGTTGAGGAGCTGGATAATCTCAAGGTTTCCATGTTAAAGCAGTCGTTGTTGGTGACTACTGGCAAATGTTTGTATTGTATTTTCAACAGTCTCCACTTTAAGGTTCCTATGAAGATCAGTATTGTGGCAGTACCATGGTGCATCGACAATGTTCCTTAATATTTTATTCTGGAAACGTTGAATAACTTCGATGTCACTTTTACTGGCACATCCCCAAAGCTGGCGAATCGCTTCATTTTCACCAATTCCTTTAAACGCACTAATCTGAAACAAATTATAGGTAATTAAAAAGGTATATTAATATTGTTTTAAATTAACTATAATAAAACAAACAATACTCATGCATACACAAAACATGAAGCTCTACTTTTCAATCAGCTGTAGAACTAATAAATAAAATTGGTGGAAGGACCGCAAATGTAGGTTATATTTAAATAGAAATAAGAATATATCAAATGCCTATAAATTTGATAAACGAAATAGCGTACGATTAATGTACTTCTCAAGAAAATGCTTGGAACACATACAGCTGAATTTAGAAGGTTCCCAATTATGCTTCTTGACAAACTGTATTCACGCGATACGTTTTTCAGGATTTTTTGGAAATCTATAAATATTATTTCGTATGAAAAAGTATTTATTCCAATATAGGTGGGCCCAAAAGTTGATAGATGATTTTTTTGCATTTTTAAAAGCATACTTTTACACATTTTATACAAACCTGTCATAATACTGTCCTGTATAATATTTATAATTTTGATACTAACCTATGAAACGTTATTCCAGTCGATTTTTCACAAAAACGTCTATCGCTAGAGCAGGAACATATAACACAGCAAGGCATTATATACTTTATAAGTTTTTAACACTCAAAATTTGCTCAAACACAAATTAAATTCAAATTTAATAACACAAATGACACTAAAATATAACCTATAAAATTTGACAATTTGCACTCACAGTAATGGCGGACCGGTCCCACTTTTCGTTTACGCATGTCGTATCCCTAGGTTGCCAGATCAATGGGTGGCACTATGGGTGACTGGCTTGGTGAATTAAAAAAAAAATA